AATAAAATAAAACTATATATTCACTGAAGAAGAAAGTTCAGGTTTGTGAGTAGAACCGAATGCATTCCATTTTGGACATGCTAATATTTTTAAGTGCAGGTCAGTTTTGTGGTGAGTTCCAGGAGGTAGTCAAAAGGCAGATCTGACGTGGGAAAGAGTTAATGGGGCAAAGCTAAGTCGGGGGGGCAGTCAAGATGACTGCTTAAGCTATGGGATTGTATGGGATAGTATGAGTGTCGGGAGGGAATGGCTAGAACCTTGAGGAATTTGTCTTGAAGTGAGATGCAGAGAAAGCATACGCAGAGAAGTGAATAATCTGTACAGAAGATGGCACTCAACGTGGGACTGAAGGAAGAGGTTTGACAATGGTAGACTGGAGGGCAGGGTAGAGGAGGTGCTGAGGGAAGGGCTCCAAGCCGAAATAGCAACATGCAGAATTAGCGAGCAGGGAAGCATTCCACCAAAGAAGCCATTCAGTAACCAGATATTGAATAAATGTGTTGTGGAAGAACTGGAAATTTCAGGGATAGGTCAATCAACAGTGTCACTGTGGAAGAAGAGATGAAAACCAGGAAAAGGCCATTTCCTCTGGGGGTTAGCGTGACTATTGATATTTGGTTGCTTGGGTATTAAAAGAATCTAATAGCCTTTGATCTACTTTGCTTAAGCTCCAACCAAAGATATCTGGTAACCTTGGAGTGTCTCGGGTTTCTAAACATAGAGGGCATCTATCCTAGGTTTAGATTGGGTGTTCCAGTTTTCTCTGTTGTGACATATCTTTGTGCTATGTCCACTACCAGGTGGTTTTCAGGTCTACTTTAATCATTACTATTGTCTGTTATTAGAGCTGTTTTTTAGTTTTTAAGTTTATTTATTTATTTTACTTTAAGTTCTGGGATACACGTGCAGAACGTGCAGGTTTGTTACATAGGTATACACGTGCCATGCTGGTTTACTGCATCTGTCAACCCGTCATCTAGGTTTGAAGCCCTGCATGCATTAGGTATTTGTCCTAATGCTCTCTCTTCCCTTTCCCACCACCCCACAACAGGTGCCAGTGTGTGGTATTTCCCTCCCTGTCTCCATGTGTTCTCATTATTCAATTCCCTCTTATGAGTGAGAACATGCGGTTTTTGGTTTCCTGTTCCTGTGTTAGTTTGCTGAGAATGATGGCTTTTAGCTTCATCCATGTCCCTGCAAAGGAAATGAACTCATTCTTTTTTTTTTTTTTTTTTTTGAGATGGAGTTTCGCTCTTGTTACCCAGGCTGGAGTGCAATGGCGCGATCTCGGCTCACCGCAACCTCCGTCTCCTGGGTTCAGGCAATTCTCCTGCCTCAGCCTCCTGAGTAGCTGGGATTACAGGCATGCGCCACCATGCCCAGCTAATTTTTAGTATTTTTAGTAGAGACGGGGTTTCACCATGTTGACCAGGATGGTCTTGATCTCTTGACCTCGTGATCCACCCGCCTCGGCCTCCCAAAGTGCTGGTATTACAGGCTTGAGCCACCGCGCCCGGCCATGAACTCATTCTTTTTTATGGCTGCTTGGTATTCCATGGTATATATGTGCCACATTCTCTTTATCCAGTCTATCATTGATGGGCATTTGGGTTGGTTCCAAGTCTTGCTATTATTGTAAATAGTGCTGCAATAAATATACATGTGCATGTGTCTTTATAGTAAAATGATTTACAATCTTTTGGGTATATACCCAGTAATGAGATTGCTGGGTCAAATGGTATTTCTGGTTCTAGGTCCCTGAGGAATTGCCACAGTCTTCCACAATGGTTGAACAAATTTACACTCCCACCAACAGTGTAAAAGCATTCCTAATTATCTACAGTCTCACCAGCATCTGTTGTCTCCCAACTTTTTAATAATTGCCATTCTAACTGCCATGAGATGGCATCTCATTGTGGTTTTGATTTGCATTTCTCTAATGACCAGTGATGATGAGCTTTTTTTCACGTTTGTTGGTTGCATAAATGTCTTCTTTTGAGAAGTGTCTGTTCATATCCTTTGCCCATTTTTTGATGGGGTTTTTTTCTTGTAAATTTGTTTAAGCTCCTTGTAGATTTTGGATATTAGACCTTTGTCAGATGGATAGATTGAAAAAATTTTCTCCCATTGTGTAGGTTGCCTGTTCACTCTGACAGTTTCTTTCACTGTGCAAAAGTTCTTTAGTTGGTACTATACATGTCAGAGAAACTTCTCTACTTCTCTAGTAAAATATATATATATATTTTACATGAGAAATTGGATGACATCATGTTTGTGGGAAAAGGAGATAATGAGCAGTGATGCCACTGTCCATGGCTCAAGTATCATACTGCAAACATATGCCCGGAGTGGGTGGCAAGAAAACAGTTTAAGCTAAGTTTGAGTTCTGCTTTCCCCAAAGATCCTACACTTGGTTTCAAAGATTGACACTAAAAACATATATAGTGCTTTTAAAATGACAAACAGCTTTACAAAGAGTTTTAGAGGGCTGGGGCAGTGGCCCTGTAATTCTAGCACTTTAGGAGGATGAATTAGGAGGATGAAGCAGAAGGATTGCTTAAGCCTAGAAGTTCAAGACCAACCTGGGCAACATAGTGAGACACTGTCTCTACAAAAAAATAAAAATGTTAGCTGGGCCACAGCACTCCAGCCTGGGTGACAGAGTTCAAACCTGTCTCAGGAAAAAAAAAAAAAAAATTCACTAAAGAAGAACTCTTTCACCCATCAGACGGGCAAAAATTTAGAAAGTTTGGTAACTGTTGGGGCAAGGGTATGAGAGAGCAAGTACTCTCTACAATGCTGGTAAGAGAGTTAATTGCTACAACCTCTTTGGAGAGTAACTGGCAATATTTGTTAAATGCATTTATTCTCTGACCCACCAGTTCTGGACAAGATAATTCAATGCAGCATAATCTGTAGTGGCGAAAGACGGCAACAACATAAAAGGTCCATCATTAGAAAGTGGTTAAATAATTATAGTACATATTCATGATGGAACAGTTTAGTAATACTTATTTATGCATAAGTAGCTCTGGAACTATACGCTACACACTGATAACAATGGTGGCCTCTGGGAGGGGACTGGGCTGGGGGCCACAGGGTGGAAGGGAGTTTTCACCTTATAAACGTATTACCTATCTCTACCCATCCCCCAAATGAAGCAAAAAAAAAAGTTTTCTGCTGGTAGATGGTGCACTAATAGTTTTAAACACATAGGAAACTTGAGATAAATCCTAAGCAGAATCATTCATCAGTCATTATGGGGATTGTTTAGAGTAAGTCTAAATTGAAAGCCATCTGATCTTCCCCACCTACCTTTTCTCTCCACAAGGAAAAAGGATGAGAAGGGTAGGAGCAAGACAGCACAAAGCAGTTATGAAGCCAAGAAACTCGTTGGATAGACACTTTATTGTGGCTTGTTTGTAGTAAAACATTCAACCCCTCAACATGGGTATCTGTTTTGGTGGCGTTTTTCTAATGGAGACTACAGCATGGTGTTCAAAGCTTTTAGCTTCATTTTACATCAGTCTAGTCAGTGGTTGCCTATAATTTGAGAGTTCAATGAGTTATAGGAAAAAGTCAGGAAATTTTGGTCTTATCCCAAATTAAGGGCTGCAAGATTCGTGACTCATTAGTATAAAGTGCTTATGTTCAGTGCAAAAAGGCAGACTCAGAAGGGCAAGCAGATGCCAGAGGACATTTCCTGGGAGATGGATATGTTCTGTAACTCAAGGAAGTTTTTGAAAAGCCAAACTTTAGCCCAAATGGATTTAGTAGTTTCCTCATAGTCTTTCTCCTCTTTTTTTTTTTGAGACGGAGTTTCACTCTTGTTGCCCAGGCTGGAGTGCAGTGGCGTGATCTTGGCTCACTGCATCCGGGTTCAAGCAATTCTCTTGTCTCAGCTTCCCAAGTAGGTAGGATTATAGGTGCCTGCCACCATGCCCGGCTAATTTTTGTAGTTTTAGTAGAGACGGGGTTTCATCGTATTGTCAGGCTGGTCTCGAACTCCCGACCTTAGGTGATCTGCCTGCCTCAGCCTCCCAAAGTGCCAGGATTACAGGTGTTAGCACCACACCTGGCCATTCTTTCTCCTCTTTAACAGGACCAAAACTTCTCATCTGACAGATGTCCATGAGTTGTTTACTACTAAAAATCTTGGTTCAGAGGGAAATCCACAGGGTTTCTAAGCACCAGAGACACTGACTTCAGCTTCCAGTTTCTGTTTGTCTCAGCATCATGAGTGGGACCAATAGGCTGAGCTCTGGCCAGTGGGAGGTTCAGAGCTGCAGAGCTTTCTTTAGGCCCCTCATTTGCTAATTGAAGTCACTGAGTATGACACACCCTTTCTCAAACAGTGTCATATCTTAGGTGGAAAGACAAGCCAGTGCATATTAAAGAAGCACTTCATCTAGTTTTCCACCAACCGGATGTGATCTATTCATTATACCCTTGTTCTGCTCTGTCCAGAGGCCCAATTCCAAAGCCAACCCTTGATTCCCCCTTCTAAGACAAAGCTAACCCTTGAGTCCCTCTTTTAAGACAGAGAAAAGCAGCACACTCCCTTCTCAATGACCCCACATGTCTGCATATCCATCCTGTGGTCCTGAAGAGACTGAATGGAAGCAGGAGGGAAGAGGAAGCAGCTTCCTAACCAATCGAGGGAGCATGAACAGGATTGCAGGCCAAAGAGGTATAATCGAGCCACTCAGGATCCTGGCCACCATTTCTCTCCCCAGACTCTCAAAGAGGAAGTCACATTCTCTCACCTGCCAACTTTGCAGCAGGGGATTCACAAGAGGCAGCTCTGTGCTTGTGAGCAGCCCCCTGTATCCCTATTTGGATGGTTTGCCTTTCTTTCCCCTCTGGATGAATGTGGTGGAAACCCTCTTGCCTGTGTTAGCCTCGCAGACCTGATCATTTATACACGCACCCACAGCTTTCAAATGCCTGGACCTGAAAACCCTTCTATTCAGACTACCATCCACAGACTCCAGGACTTCTTGTGCTTGGGAGAAGAGACACCTGGAAAACAGGTTTATTCTGCAGGTAGCACTTGCCCCAAAGCCATCTCTGAATTCTGGAAAGTGAAGGAAGGAAAAGAGGGAATCCTTTGGGTGTTGCTCTAATTCTCTGTAAAAGCCCTCTGGGTCAGAGGAGCTACTAAAGCAGGTCCACAGGGAGGGGACTGTACAAACAGGACAACCCGGGTCAAGAACCAAAACGCAGGGAAGGTTTTCAGAGTGGCAAGTCTAAAGTAAAGTGCCTCTTTTCAATGGAGAAGAGTTTCATTTGTTCAGAAATGCTTGGGCGTAAACATGAGTGCACAAGAACATGCACACGTGTGTGCACACACACTCACTCACTCTGAGGTAGAAAGAACTGGCCCTCTCCAGACAAACACACATAGATTCCACAAATTTAGAGAAACATGGCACTTGCGTGAAAGGTCCTATTCTTGCCTGGGAAGGCAAGTAGGGTCCAATCCAGCTCTTTCCAACCTAGGGCAGAGCCATAGAAGTCCCACTCCACAGGAGGAAAGAGGTGGAGGGCATCGCCGTCACTGCTGTTGCTCAGCTCTCAGGCCACGTGTTCCTGGCTCCGCTGCCCAAGGTCATTTCCTGGAGCCTGAGCCATGGGCACTGCGGGGGTGGCTTGTCAGAAGCCACTGGGCACAGATGTCTTGTACAACTGCGTCCCCGCTGCTCTTGGCGGCCTGCTGAACCTGCTGGACGAGGGCTGTGGCCCGTGAGTGTTCTTGCTTTACAGCAATCAAGTAGGCGGAACGTAGTTTGCAACACAGCAGGTAGGCCCGAACCTGGCAGTCAGTTATAAAAGAGACAGCAGAAAGGCATCCATCACTGACAAATCAAGTATACAGAGCTGCAGCAGAAAGCTCAGGCAGACAGATATCACATGTCACCTGCCACATTCATGATGGGATTTGTGCATTTTATGGTACTATAACAAATTTTTAAATATCCCAGAAATAAGCTATAACACTATGTTATTTTATAGGGTAAAAAGTTATTATACATAAGCTAAGAATTTAAAAAAGAAGGCAGGGCAGCAGGCAGTCTGGTCTCTGTCCACTCCCTCCGACACCCTCCTCTTCCTCACTCTCCCAGGCTCTCCGGCTTCTTCTGGGCTTCAGGGCCATTGCTCTCGCCCACAGAGTTGTGAGTATGCAGTTACTTGAGTGATTATGTGATTGATGCCTGTCTCCTTGACCAGACTTTAAGCTTCATGAGGGCAAGAGTAGTGTCTGTTTTTTCCATTCCTTGTCTTCCTGATGCCTAGCACAGGGCCTGGCATATAGTAGGTGTTCAGTGAATATGTATTACAGGAATGACTAAAACATCCATCCTAGAATGGACGCAGAGATCCTCCTCTACTTTTCTGCTTTCAGTCTGCTGGATCTAAAGTTATTTTTCATAATTACAGGAATTTTGGGGAGGAAGACACATACCCACAATTGGAAAAAGTTGAATCGAGGTCTAACCCCACTTAGACCTGATTTGGCTCTGCCTGTTTGGACAGAGGCAGCCATTTCAGGATGTACGTATGTGTGTGTGTATCTCCCAGGATCGCTATCTCAAGAATTCCCAGCTTGGTGGTGACAAGAGTCCCTTCCTTCCTGGCCCTGGTCTCTCCAGCACCCTCTGGATAGCCAGTGCTCTAGGCTAGTGAGCAGAGAGGCCTTCATGAGCTGCCACAGAGCTTCTGCCAGCAGCTGCCTTTCTGCTGCAATAATCCCTGTTGGTTAGTGGAGGGGACTCTTCTTGCTTCCTGTGTCAATGCTCCATCTGTTATTTGTTTTGGTCACTAAAGTCTTTCTTTCCTCTCTAAGCTGAATCACAGATAATCTCCTACAGCTAGACGATATCTGGCATGTTCTGAGGTCACTAAAGTGATCTAGTCCTATGCTGCTTGGGATCCACTTGCTGCCCTAGGATGTCAGCTCTCCCCAGGCCCTCAGCTCTCCTTAGCATCTACATATGCTAAACTAAATACATATCATAAGTTGGCAGGCATAATACCAAGAGAAGAAGGAAATTTTGCCAGAGAGTCTGGAATGGAGCTAAACGAAGCTGTTTTTTGGCAAGACCCCGTGGCCTAAGATCATTTAACTTCATGAGACAGCTGCTGAGAGAAAAATACCTGAAAAAGTAATAAGGACTGTCTCTATTTCAGTGTATGTCTTTCCCAGGAATAGTCTTTGTCCTGTTGAGTGGGAGGCTCAATGAAGGCTTAAGAAAGAACCGCAGTCTGGGAATCAGAGGACCTGGGCGTCTATCCTGGCTGTTGGGGTCTCAGTCTGACTCTAGAAAAGTAATTCTCTACATTTCAGGATGTCAGAATTTCATCCTTTCCAAGAAGCTCATTATGTTACAGAAATAAATGAAGAAAGGTTTAGAACTTGTTCTCCTTAACTCTGGAGACTGAAAGATGCCCAGTAAATTCGGTCCAGGGATTAGCAATACTGCCATGGGAAGCATGTAAGGAGCTCTTTGCCTCACATTAGTTTTCATCACATTAGTTTCATCATTAGCTGAGTCCTCACAGGACTCAGCTGTCAGATAACTTCTCTGCCACTGGACAGGGCAGCTCAGACTGGCTTGACTTTCTTGTGGCCCTCCTGGCCCGGGGCCCTTCCTGCAGACAGCCAGAGGATCACTCCAGTGTTCAGCCACAAATGGGGGCATCTGGCATTTCTGGCATATTCTGCCTGGCATTCTTCCCAAAGGCAACAGGAAACAAAGGTTCATCAATTTCCCAAACAGGGACAAGCTCTTTGGCCCCTGAGGAGAGGTTCATTCTGGAGATCGAGACACTGGTGGATATTGTTGGTCAAAGCATGGGGTGAGGTTTTTTCTTACTGTACCTTTTTCCCTCTAGGATAAAGAGATACCTGCTTACCCTGGGAACCTCATTCCATCAGTCCACCCAAAGATGGAGGTGAGGTGAGGGATTTCCTGGGGCTCTCTGAGAGCATCAGTATAAAATGGAGATTCAAGAGCAGGCTGGGACATGTTTGTCTTGAGGATAAAGCCTAGGACATGTTTGTCTTGGGGACTCATGCAGTCTGTGTTCACCTGCTTCCTATCTATTCCCTCCATTCTATACCCCTATCCAAGCCCCAGCTCCACTTCTGATAATAAAGAAGCTGAGATATGGTTGTATGTAGCTACTGTGGGGAGCAAGGGATAAAGGTGACAAGGCAAGCCTGAGATACTATTCATCAGCATCTCTGGGGTTTGGAGACAATTCTGCTCACCTTGTTGTCATCATTGTGTATTGCCTGGATCAGGCCCTCCAGCTCCTGTACAGAACAGAAACAGCAGTTGTGAGAGGGAGAAGAGTCCCACAGTCTCGGAGCCAGGGCCCAACCCAGCCTGAGCCCAGCCATTCTGACTCCAGAATGAAAATGCCTGCCTGGCTTTTTCTTTTTTTTTTTTTTTTGAAGAGATGGGATCTCACTATGTTGCCAAGGCTAGAGTGCAGTGGCTTTTCACAGGCAGGATCCCACTATTGATAGCACAGGAATTTTAACCTGCTTCATTGCCAACCTGGGCCGGTTCACCCCTCCTTAGGCAACCTGGTGGTCCCCTTCTCCTGGGAAGTCACCAAATTGATCATGAACTTAGTGTAAGCACTAAGTTCTAACTCTAAGTATGTATCGGCATAATACACCACAGTCCAGAACTCCTGAGCTCAAGTGATCCTCCCCACTCAGCCTCCAGAACAGCTGGGATTATAGACATCACACCGAGCTGATTCTTCTTTTTAAACTCAAGTCCTGCTTTAAGAGCAAGAAAGAAAATCTAATTACAACACTAAGCTTCAGAATTTAGGGAGAAGGTACAGTTTCCAAAGGCCTGTCCTCAGCCTTCCCAAATGGATATGGCTCTGTTCACTCCAAAAAGCCACCATGGGAGGACAATTCTGCAGGTAACGGGCTTCAAAGGTCATCTGCTGGCCCACCCTGATCTCCTCTAGAATTGCAGGAAGAAGCTCAACTCCATAGATACTTCCAGGTGCAAATAAAATTACACAATGGGAGGTTGAGGGCCACATTCTGGGTACAGACATCATCTCCATAAATTTTCTTTACAGGGAAGGGTCAATTAGGGTGAGGCCACTATTGCAGAACAGTTCAGAATGATAAAAGGATCTTGTAGAATTTCAGGCACATTCTGGGAAACAGAATGAAGACAGGGATGTGAAAACACTGAAATTGATGGAGGAGCTGAGAGGTACAGGAGGGAGCACACCTGGGGTGGAATTCTCTTGAACGCTTCCAGGCAGTTGAGGAGGATGGTGTCCCCGTCACTTTTGGCTGCCATGCCTGACTCACTGACACACTTGAGCAATTGCCGGATCTCACTGTACTTCTCCTTCTCCACCAACTGGCGGGCAGCTCTGCAGTAGGTCATGGCAGCATCCAGCTGGAAGTCCTTGAACAGAACATGAGGTGATGAGCTTAGGCGCAGGGAACATTAACAGTGGGGAGGGAGGCAGCATTTAACAGCTCTCGCTATGCTTGGTGTAGATAAGCCATATTGATTCACAGTAGAAAACATAACAAACAAAAAGCAGGCTTAAATTCCTCTTTGGAATTAGGTAGATATTTAGGAACCATTCACAAAAACTGCAGCCGTAGTATCTAAAACGGTACATTTCACTTGCTGCGGTGGCACTTACTGAAAATATTCTTATCCAAATCCTAAGACTAGTTCATTTTCTCTCTAATAAGTCTGCTTTTTCTTGAGAAATGGGCTTTGAGGGCTGGTATTTGCTGCCCTGGACACCTGGTGCTCTGTTAAGAGGTAGGCGACTTAGTGGTCAGAAACAGACCCATTAACAGGCCCATTCACTGAGACTCATTTGCTGAAATTGCCAGATAAACACCTTAAACCTGGTCTACGAGAACCCTTATGCCAAAGGGCCTGGACAGAGCTGCCTACCAGGGTATCTGTGTGTGGTGAGCTCTGTCCAACACTGAAAATAGATGGGAAGAAAAACACCTGACTAATCATGTATGAAGCCGTTGATCACTGATACATGCACAATGCATAAATGCCCTGCCTGTCCTAAGCTGCCTGCTGTCAGCTCCTGGGGTATCTGCATGGAGCTGTGGTGGTGGGCAGGTCTGCAGAGACTCTACCCCTCATGGTTTCAATGCCCTGCTACCAGCCCCTGCTCCACTGCCACAAACGCACCTGTGTCCTTTTATGACATGTAACAGAAAACACATTCCTCCAGCCAGCTCCTGTACAGACCGAGGATGGGGAACAGCCCTTGTGGCCAGTGGAAAGCCCTGGCCACCCCTCCAGCCACGCTCCCTGTGAGAAACCCCTCCAGCCATGCTCCCTGTGAGAACGAGCAGTGTTTCTCGGGGAAACAGCTGTGGGGAACTGTCTGAGACCTGGCTCCTGGTGTTTATTTGGTAGCTTTTGATGAATTTGTCATGGGTTACTTGTCTTCTGGCAAAGTGGCCTAGAGTCTTGAATTTGACCCAGGTCTATAATAGTCACCTCCTTGATTTCATCCCTAATGTGCATGTGAATCTGCTTTTCTTGGGATAAGAATTTCCTAAAGAATAATCTCTCACGGAACTGTGGTCAAGTGCTGATTGTCCTCAGTGTGATTTCAGTAATCCAAGTCATACCTGCAGAACACGGAATGCAATGCCAAAACCATCTTCTACATTTTTCCCTCCCAGCATGACCTGAAAAGGAAAGGGAATCATGCTTAAAAAAGTAATAATTACTAGTGTATCCTCTTAACCAAGAATGAAGGCTCCTATTTATTCCATTATTCAACAAATTATTTGTTGAGACCCTGCTAAGTGCCAGGCACTAGTGATACAAGCACGATCAAAACGGACTTGATCACCAGTGTTCTGTAGCTCGTATTGTAGCGGGGAGGCAGACATCACACAAACAACGGAAATAATCACTAAACAACAGCAATTATGATAAGAGTTCAAGAAGATGATGGTAGTCTTCCAGAGGTCCAAAACGCTGCACATACCTTGCAGGCAACATCCATTTTCATGTGGTTATTTCCAAACAGGGTTGGCAGAGGCAAAGTGGTGATCTGAGAGGTCCCAGCACTTTCGCACCGATGCAAGAACCTGGTCACTTCCGTCTGCAGCTGAAGTGTGTTCATGTGCCTGTGGTGACAGGAAATGCATAGTGCAGCCTCACGAGGGGCCCCAGGAGTGAGAGGACTGAGGCCAGAAGACTGAGAAGCCGAATAACATGGTGATGGAAAAGGCAAAAGAAATGATGAAGAGGGAAAAGAGACCCCAAATGCCTTGTGAGCAGTTATGAAAAGAAAAAAAAAAATGGTGGTCTCGTGTCCTGTACAGACTCACAATATTACGGTGCACTGTGGAACCAGATAAGGTCCAGTCATTGAATCAATAAGTATTTATTGAGCACCTATGTACCAGGTCCAATAACAGAGGTCAAGGGAGACATGAGCCCTGCCCTCAGAGTTTATAGGCTAGAAGAGAAATGAATAGTAAACAAACACATAAAATAGTTAGCAATGAAGCCTATGGAAGTAATAAATGGTAGTGGTAGAGCGTTTACTCCAGATGTTGTGTTCTATGCAGAGGGCCTGGCAAGTATAAAAGCTGAGAGGAATTAAGGACTTGGTGTGCTGAGGAGCCCTGAGGAGACCAGGGGTCAACGCTTAGCAAGAAAACAGTAGCAGGAGATAAAGATGGTGACATCAGCAGGGGCCAGAACGTGCAGGACCCTTTTGGCCTACTGCAAGGAGTTTGGAGTGTAGTCTGATTGTAGCTTGTCATGCTAATCCTCCCTCCACTCCCCACTCCCACTATCAGCTCCTCTGCAGGCTTTCCAGGCTTGTACTAGACACTGTCAATCAGGGATGATTCCTTTTAGATTTTTTTTTAATGGTTTGGGGAATGCATAATAGTAGCTTCATCACCAACAGGAACCTGGCCTTTCTGCCTCACACCAAGGGTCCCCTGAACCACCAGCTACCTTGACACATCAGCTGCAGTCATCTTCTTTCTGAAGAAGGCAGTTTTCTTCCTTCCAGAGCTGCGGGATGTTTCTTGGAGGTAGATCTTCAGGTGGTCCTTGGCCTTAAGTAGCCATGAGAGCTTCTCTCCCAGTTCTGTATATGACTTTGCTTTGTGACTGAAGAACCAAATACAGGTCATGGCAGCCCGAACTTGATCCTAGAAGAGAAAAATGAACGTTCAGGTCAAAGTAGATCAGGGGTTTGGAGGGTAGGGTGTAATGAGAATTCTCATCTGATTTCCACCTATGAGACCTCGTTTCCAGCACCCACTCCCACCACCAGCTGAACTGGTATTTTGAGCTCATCACCCCAAGGTCCAAGAGATCCTGAAGTGCACTGACTGGTGGAGTTATTGGGCAGGGCATTCTTCTACCACTGAAGAGATGCTACAAGAAGATATTTCTGATTCTCCACTCAAATTGGCTTTACTTGTACTTTGGCATTAAATAATGCAATTTCTGTCATTTAGTACTGACAATCCTCAGACAGACTGGGAGGAATGTGCTCCTTCTCCCTTCATGCATTTTCTCTAAAAACACTAACTTTTCCATCATTCCTTGTGAATTCTACATTCATGCCTCATGTTTATCTTGAAACTACCATATATTTCCTTTTTTTTTTTTTTTTAACCTATCTATTCCTTGCATTCCGAAGAATGCCATGACTGACAGGATTAAAGTCTGCCTCCAAACTTAGGATGGAAATCCTAATATTATTTAACAATGCTGGAGAGTAGCATGGATTTGCTCTAGGGTCAGCCAAATAGCAAGGCCAGGGACCAATGACAGTCTCGTTTCCTCATCGTGCGCTGCCTCCCCTGCAGGGTGGGGCATCAGTGACAGAGGGAGAAGGCCCGGAGGGGCTGCCATTACCTTCATAAACTGCTGCAGCTCATACAGAATGTGGTAGTAGTTCTTCTTCTGTAAATGTTGGCAGGCAGCAATCAGGTACTTTCCCCAGCTCTCCAAGGTTGGATCAATGGATTCTAGCAAGTTTTCCAAAGTGTGTAGCTTCCCACTTTTATAGCTTGGCTGGAAAATGCCTTCTATAAAAACTTCCGGAGGACTCTCCTGGAGCAGGGCAGGGCGAGAAGTCAGAAGTCTTGAGCCCAGTTCTGGCACTGCCTGGGATCCAGACAGTGATGGACCTTCTTTCTATTGATGGACTTTCAGCATCCTCCCATAGCAGTGTAATCTTTTATGTGTCACAGACACCTTTGAGAATCTCATTCTAGCGACTGCTTCATTTCTCTCCTTCCTTTTACAGCGAAGCCCCTTGACAGAGTTATCCATCCTCACTGTCTCCAATTCCCTCCTGTGATTTTTCTCTTGAACCAACTCTAATCTAGCTTTTGCACCCATAACTTCTGTTGAAACTACTGCTTAGGTCACCAGTGACCACTAAAGTGTAAATCTAACAATTAATTCTTGATCCTCATTTTCTACCTGATTGTTCAGCAGATTTTGACACAGATGGCTTCTTCCTCCTTGAAAAGCCTTTTTTAAAAATAAATTTTTATTTTAATTGAGAAAAACTTCCCTCACCTGGCCTCCAGCACACTGTCCTCTCCAGATTTTCTGTCTAAGTCTCTGGCTGCTCCTTCTCAATTTTCTTAGCTGATCCCTCCCAATCTCCCCAGGGCTTAGGAGGAATCTACACTCTTTTCTATTTATACTCACTTTCTTGGTGATTTCATCCAGGCTCATTACTTAAAATATTGTTGATTTGCTGATGATGCCTAAATCCCCATCTCCAGTTTGTTCATCCCCCTGAACTCCAGAACTTTACATCCAACTTATGTCCAATTGTCTACTCAACATGTCCACTTGGAGATCTAAGTGGACATGTTGAGTAGACAATTGGATACAGTCATCTTAGTCATCTTTTCCCTCACACTCCTCCATCAAATTCATCAGCAAATCCTATTGGCTCCACCATCATGATTACAGCACACAGAATCTGGCCACTTCCCACCACCTCCCTTGGACCACACTGGATCCCACCATCATTGCTTGCCTGGATTATTGCAACAGACTCCTCCCTGGTCTATCAGCTTCCATTTTTACCTCGTCAGTCTAATGCCCACAAAGCCCAAGTGACTCTTGAAACCTCAGCCAGATCACGTTACTCCTCTTGCTCACAGTCTTCCAGGTTTCCCTTCTCATCCCTCACAATGTCCACTAGGTCCTGCATGATTTGGCCTGTGACCTTTCTGACCTTATTCGATAGTATCCTGTCCCACCAGACTCTGCTCTAGCCACCCTGGCCTTTGCCATCGTCACTGACTCTGCCTGGACTGTGCCTTCCCCACAGATCTATGTGATTCGCTCCTTATGTCCTTTGGCACTTTACTCAGATGTCACCTTCCCTGGGCACCCAGTCTAAAATTGTGCAAGCCACGCCTTCCTCCTCCCCATTTTATTTTTCTTCTTCTTATTCATCATCTACCACTAACTACTTTATTTTTCATATTTACTATCTCTCTTCCTACTATGGGGGTAGATATTTTTGTTTTTTTTTTTTAAAGACAGAATCTCCCTCCGTCACTCAGGCTGGAGTGCAGTGGTTCAATCTCAGCTCACTGCAACCTCCACCTCCTGGGTTCAAGTGATTCTCCTGCCTCAGCCTCCTCAGTAGCTGGGACTACAGGTGTGCACCACCATGCCCGGCTAGTTTTTGTATTTTTAGTAGAGACGGGGTTTCACCATGTTGGCCAGGCTGGTCTCAAGCTCCTGACCTCAAGTGATCCAACTGCCTCAGCCTCCCAAAGTGTTGGGATTACAGGCATGAGCCACCATGCCTGGCCTTTTGTCTGTTTTTTTTTTTTTTTTTTTTTTTCTGCTGTATCCTTAGTGCCCAGAATAGTCCTTGGCTATTTAATAATCATCTTGGCATTTAGACTTGAGATTAGGAGTAATCAGTGGAGAGTCAAGGATGACTATAAAGTCATGGTGGTATACCATGCCAGCACAGTGGCACTGGGCACAGGCTGTTTGGAAGCAGGACAGATCTGGGCTTTGAGAACATTCATAGTGGGTGAGGGTTAGGGGTGTCTTTCCTGATTCAGGTTGTTCCTAACAGAGAAAACCAGACCTAATCTAAAAGTTGTAGGTCACATTTTAAGAAGCAGGGGCATTAGCTCTGCAGGAGAGAGGGAACACCTCAGAAGAGCAACACCTCAAGAACTTCCATGCCATCTATTCATCCACTTACTTATTCATAATTGGTACTAGTCAGGTACCTGAATACACAGATAAGTAAAGTATAGGCCTAGATGGAAAGACTCAATTGTAAACAAACAGTTGCAATCCAGTAGGATAAATGCAGTACCAGGGGCAATGGTGGTTAATGCTGCTTGAGTGTTCTGTGAATGCTCAACAGAGAGGGCCTGAAAGGATACTAAAAGGATAAATAGGAATTTTTAAAGGAAACAAGGAGGGGCAGGGCATTCTAGGTAGAGGAAATAGCACAGAAAGACTGGTGGAAATAAGACAGTGCCTGGTAAATCAGGAAAATTTAAGTAATTTGAAGAGTCTGGAATGTAAGGTACAGATAGGATTAGTGGTGAAAATAAATTAGAGAAATAAGGAGGCCTGATCCTGGTGAGTTCTGTAGGATGCTATGGAATTTGGAGTTCATCCTGTGGCCATGGAGATCCTCTGAAGGCCTTTTAGGGAGGGGAATAAGATGAGTCTATTTATGTTTTAGCAAGCTCATTCTGGGGCAGCATGGGCAAAGGGACAAAACACACAGGGGAAAAGGCTAGAAACAGAATGCCTTCCATGCTCCAGGCATTCAGGTGTAATTTTCACAATGTCTTTTCCTGTTCTCCCTACCTGCTTGAAAATAAAGGTAAGATATATCAGTTCAAGGGTAACTATGATTACAGGAGATAAAAAGAAGGCTTCTTTCCTAGCTCTGACACATATAAAGCAAGGGCACTGCTGTTGTCAGCTTATAGCAAGCTAGTGAAGTAAGCAGCTTAGCTCTCTGGATTACAGCTGTCAGAGGGAATGGAACTAGGTGATTTCCATTCTCAATTTGTGCCTGGGAGAAGCATCTTTACTGCTAAACTAATTTGGAAACTGAAGAAAAGGAAAAAAGTTAGCAATTCAACTCCATGTAACATGACTTCCACATTATTCTTGAGACCTGGTTCGTAGCTAAGAATAGTCAGTAGTTAGGCACTGGTGAAAACATCCTCCCCTTCACTGTCCTGCGGGGTATAGTCACAATAATTTTGTGAACTGCTGATTTCACTTGGATCAATCTTAGAAAATATGTCTATCTGAACATTTGCATTGGCTGCTGTTTTGAATTAGGGTGGCAGAATGAAATTAAAGTCTGCCTTGAGCTCCTTAAATTTTCTATAAAATTTGGTACATTTCATCCAATTTCTCCAAAAGTTATTATGGAACATTCAGATAAAACGAGGAATGTAGCTGGGTGCAGTGGCATGCACCTGTAGTTCCAGCTACTCAGGAGGATGAAGTTGGAGGATTTCTTGAGCCTAGGAGGTCAAGGGTGCAGTGAGCTGTGATCATGCCACTGCATTCTAGCCTGGGCAACATAGCGAGTCCTCATCTCAAAAAAACAAAAACAAAAAAATGGGTCATGGTAAAACGAGGTCCCAATTGCTTATCAGGGGCTCCAAAGACATAATGTTCTTCAGTGGTGGCTTTACTTCCAGTGGGAGGTGGGCAGAGGATGGGAGAGGAAAAAAAATAGCACATATTCTCCTTTAATCATCTATTTGGGGCTCAACTATAGAATCGGTGCCATGGGTGCTTCCTGGTCCTTGTGATAACAGCAATGAATGGACCAGCAGCTGGGTCAGAAGCTGGACACCATCCCAGACCAGGTAGAGAGGCACGTGGAAGTCTAAGCAATATGCCTTAGGCCAGGCAAGACTCACACTGAGCATCTCATTTCAGACACCACGCTCTTAACCACTATCCGATTCTGCTGCATGTTTTGGAAGATGGACTGAAACGTGCCATTGCCGGTGAGGACAGTGATCTGGGATCCAGGCTAAGACTTCTGCACACTCACTGGATAACGGTTGTGAAGAGTCCTCCATTTTGACCTGACTCTGCTAGAGATGGCCCCACAGCTCAACACAGGGTTAAGTGTCAGGGGTTTATTGACTGAGTGGTCGGAGCCGGAGGAGCAAGGCAGGCACTGCCTTGTTTAGCTGTGTCCGTGTCCCACCTTGTTGAGGAGGTGCAGAAGGGCTTCCCGCAGGCAGCTGTGCCTCACGTAGAAGCTGATGATGGCCAGGTTGGTGCTATAGTTGTGCAGGTAGAAGAGGCATTCTTGGTAGTAGGTGTTGTTCATGATCTTCCCTTCAGGAATCACTGCCAGAGAAAGGCTCTGCGTCCGAAGGGTAGCTTCCAGTTCCCTCAGGGTGGCAAAGTAATCGTCATCTTGCTGACAGCACAGAAGAACGACAGAGAAACGTGAAACTCAAAAAGTTCTCAGCAGGCACTGAAAATATTGCTTGCAAAGAATATTTAACAATGTGGAAAAATGTTCACAATGCAGTGTCAATGGTAGAAAAACAGGCAGGATACACAATTCTATATATTATGACATGGGTCAACTCCAATTTCATTAAAAAACAAAATATAGAAAATTCAGCAGAATCTTAACACTAATTAGTCTCTGTATGGGATTATATGTCATTTTTATCTTTTAAAAATCATTTTTGTACAGTTTCTTTTTTAAAAAAATTGCATCTAACTATATATAGTTACTTATCTAGCTATATGTAATTGATAGACAAAAACAAACAAACAAAAAATATATAAACCTGGCTGACACTGAGCCAGGACTAACACCGTCAGCTGAATTTCCACTGATTCTTTTCCAAGGTCATTGTTATTCCTGGGCCTCCCTCCCTGAGCCAGGCACTCTTCCTGCTTTTCTCTTACCAAGGATACGAGGGGCCTCACTGTGGACTCCAGGTACTCAACCACATCCTGCACCAGCCTTGAGCCATGACTCAGCTGATTGAGGTCAAACGGGGGCTTCAGACAGCGACTGAACTTTTCCCGCGCAGCAGTGAGGTTCCCAGCTTTGAGGCAGGCCATGCCCCAAGCATGCCATGCCCCAGTGGTATCAAGTCCAGTCTTTGTGGACACCTGGGAGAAAAATTGCTCCTTTAAGTGAGTGGTAGCTACATCCAGGCTTAAAGGTCCCAAAGACCTATTCTATTCCCAAGTTGCCAACCACCTCATCCCCACTATCTGCCATTACTCCTCAGCTGACAAACTAGTCATGCCCCTGATTCTTCCCCATGGCCAGGACAACTGAGAGAAGGCAATATCTGTCTGCAAGGCTAAACAAAGGCAACTCATTACAGTGGGGTGGAAGTAAGCTTTGTCTTTGCCTCACCTCAACACCCAGTTGGTAGTACTCGGCTTCCAAAAGCTGGTTCCTTAGCCTAGTTACCGCAGCTGGCTGCAAGATCTGATCCAAAGATGGCACGTGGCGATAGGCAGCAGCAACTAAAATATTCAGCACGTCTACCTTGCTGATGTAGCTACAAGGAGGAAAAAGGCAAGGCCATGAGGCTCCCCACAGTTTTACTAAGAGTAGCTGCTTAAAGGTTTCCTACTCCATTTTCTTTCTTTCTTTCTTTCTTTTTTTTTTTTTTTTTGAGGCGGAGTCTTGCTCTGTCACCAGGCTGGAGTGCAGTGGTCCGATCTTGGCTCACTGCAACCACCGCCTCCTGGGTTCAAATGATTCTTCTGTCTCAGCCTCTCAAGTAGCTGGGATTATAGGTGACTGCCACCTCGCCTAGCTAATTTTTGTATTTTTAAAATAGAGACGGTGTTTCACCATCTTGGCCAGGCTGGTCTTGAACTTCTGACCTCAAGTGATCTGTCTACCTTGGCCTCCCAAAGTACTGGAATTATAGGCCTACTTCATTTTCATTGTGAAAATGATCATGAGAATTGAGAGGTGCGTAGCATAGATGCCATGAGTGATAACTCTGGAGTCACACCGAATCCTGGCTCCATCACTTAGTAGCTCTATGACCTGGGGCTAGTTAGTTAACCTCTCGCTGCCTTAATTTACTCATCTGTAAAATGGATATACAGTCATGTGCCATACAATGATGTTTCAGTTAGCAATAAACTACACATACAATGGGGGTCACATAGGATTATAATACCATATCTTTACTATACCTCTTCTATATTAGATACATAAATACCATAGTGTTACAATTGCCTACAGTATTCAGTATAGTAACAAGTTGTACAGGTTTGTAGCCTAGAACAATAGGTTATAACCTAGGTGTGTAGAAAGCTATTCTCTCTGGGTTTGTGCAAGTGCACTCCATGGTGTTTGTACAATGACGAAATCACCTATAATGCATTTCTCAGAACATATTCCTGTCATTAAGCCATACATGACTGTAACAGTGGAGTTTTAAGGATAAAATAAAATAACCCAAGTAAAAGGGCTTAGGATAGTGTCTGGAACTTTTCTGGCACTCAATGTTAGACATTCATGTTTGGAGTAGGGGTGCTCAGGGTTATTTGAGGCAAAGCCTTTACATTGAATGTTGGGGGCTTACAAGTAACCCATTTGCTTTTTGGTCGTTTTGAACCTCCTTTGTGTGTGAGAGAGCACAGATTCAGTATTAATGGCCTATACTCCTGGTTAGTGCACAGGTCATATCACTACCATTCCCTAGAGGTGCTGCTGGGTAAGGGCATCCTGGCCCTTCACTCATATTCTATACTTGACATCCTCACCCTGGGCTAAGGATGGGCTCTCATTATAGCCTACTAGGGCTGCCTTCTGCGATCTCACTCGATGCTTGTAAAAACCTTATAAAGACAGAAAGCCTGGAGGACTAGATTATACTGCCTAGTGCTACTCAGATAAGTTTACACTCAAGGTTCCTGAATCTTGTCTTATAACTGCAGCAAAAAAACCCTGTGGATCCTGACTTATCCACCAATTTCCTAGAAAGGGATTATGTACACCAGTCATTCTTAACAATGTAGGGACGGGGAGAGGAAAGTATATAAAAGCATCAGTACCCATAATATATTTGTATATTTGGAAAATGAAAACATTTGAAGTAGGTGGTGACTTAATTTTTATTTTGATGTTTTTTAGAGACTGGGTCTCACTATATTGCCCAGGCTGCTCTTGAACTCCTGGTCTGGCCTCGGGATCCTCTTCCCTCAGCCTCCTGAGTAGCTGGAATTAAACACAAGAGTCACTGCACCCAGCTGAGGTTTTTTTTTTTTTGGAGACAGAGTTTCACTCTTGTTGCTCAGGCTGGAGTGCAATGGTGCGATCTGGGCTCACCACAACCTCTGCCTCCCAGGTTCAAGTGATTCTCCTGCCTCAGCCTCTGGAGTAGCTGAGATTACAGGCATGTGCCACCACACCTGGCTAGTTTTGTATTTTTAGTAGAGACAGGGTTTCTCCATGTTGGTCAGGCTGGTCTCTAACTCTCACCTCAGGTGATCCACCTGCCTCAGTCTCCCAAAGTGCTGGGATTACAGGTGTGAGCCACCACGCCTGGCCTGAGTTTTATTTTTAAACCTATATTTGTTTGTTTAGCAGAAGGGGATATGAGTGAAAAACATTAGAAAAATACTCCGAAAACCAAGAGTTTGTAATTGATTTGCATGGCCATACATGTAAGCAATGAATCCACTCCCATCAGCAAACTGGTGCAAAGGCAAGAATTCTTAGAGTGGGCATATCTGAATGCAGGGTCGGAGAAAAGGCTGTGTAAATGTAAACCAGTGCAGTAAACTGTCAAAGAAGCACATGACACCTTGGGGTGGGTGAGAATCCTACTTAAGTGAGGACTTCCTTATTTTCTGCTGCCCTCAGCCTAAAAATTGATATTTTGTCCATCTATATGACATTTTAAAGGAAGTACAGGTCTAGATGGGAAGTTTGTTTCCTCCCTAATCTAAGTATCTTTTTCTTTTCTCATCTGCATTACTGCTATTTGAGATATATTCGAATATATTTTTATTTTTGCCTTAAGTCTTTTTTCATGTTTCCTTTGTTTTCCACCTTCTGGTATGTGGAAAGGTTTCTGTTATTCTCCTCCTCCTATCCTTTTCTCATAATTTGGTAGATTACTGATTCTTTTCATGGTTATTTAGAAAATTTAACACATGGGCTGGGCGCGGTGGCTCACGCCTGTAATCCCAGCACTTTGGGAGGCCGAGGCGGGTGGATCACCAGGTCAAGAGATCAAGACCATCCTGGTCAACATGGTGAAACTCCGTCTCTACTAAAACTACAAAAAATCAGCTGGGCATGGTGGCGCGTGCCTGTAATCCCAGCTACTCAGGAGGCTGAGGCAGGAAAATTGCCTGAACCCAGGAGGTGGAGGTTGCGGTGAGCCGAGATCGCGCCATTGCACTCCAGGCTGGGTAACAAGAGCGAAACTCCGTCTCAAAAAGAAAAAAGAAAATTTAACACATGTCTGTTTCTTCATGTATCAACTTGAAAACTGATGAGAATCTATTACCTCTTGATATAAAGCAATCAAATTAGTTCCTTTTCACTTCCTTCTACTTTCTGTTTACCTCCTCCTGCTTTTCTCAATCTTCTAGCTTTGTTACTAAAAATAATAAAAATTACTAACATTTTTGGCATACACAATATATACCAGGCTTAGTTCTTCACATTTACGTGGATGAACTCATTTTATCCTTGTAACAGCCCCGTGAGATTGGTATTACCACCCCATTTTATGGAGGGGGAAACTGAGGCCTAAAGGGGTTAACAGAACTAGGAAGTTGTGAAGCTGGGATTTGCTGTGCTCCATGCTGGCTGCTGAGTTCTTAGGCAAATATTCTGAGCATATGTCTGAGGGAGGCAATGATACTGCAAAGAAAATTATGCTCCCTGCTCCCAAAACTGGTTAGGATTGAGTGCTGGGAATACACAATATGAGTCACACATCTGGGTGGTAAGCAGGGAGTTAGGAGTTTTCATTGTCAGGTTGACGGATGGAGTCAAAGCAGGTTGTACAGGAACCTGAAGGAGGTCTAATCATACCTTTTCCATACACACTTCTACTTTATGACTCAGGTTCCTACTTGTGACACAGGAATAGACCATTTCCCAGGGTACTTTTTAAAATCTATTATCCAGAACTCACTGAAGTCACAGTTTGAATTTGGTCAGGATTGGAGTAGAGTTTTTGTTCAAGGAGGACACATTTTCTTTAAAAGCCACAGAAGGTCCCACAGAGACTAACAGTGCTTCCCTACCTTGATTTTAATGACAAATTAACCACTGAAAGTCTTTACTTTCTTTCTGACTGGGTATAGCTAGAGTAAACTCTACTTTGAGGAGCTGCTCCGAAAAAGAAAAGGACACAGCGTGTCAGGTAGGAGAGGGAGAACATCTGTGATCCAGCAACACCATTTTATCAACATCGAAGAGATGAAAAATCTTTCAGCATGTTTTGTCAGAGAGGATGGTGATATAAAAAATCATAGTGGGGTCAGAAAAAGAAGCTGGCTAGAAATTGCTCCCGTGTAAAAGAATAGAGACACACTGCCCTCTACCTGTCACAAAGAGCCAAGTCTTGGCTCTGGCCGGCTTTGACGAACATCATCTTGGCGCTGAAGAGCAGCTGCTTCATGATGTCTGTGAGCAGCCCGGCATCCACCTCCGGGTTGGTGAGGCCCTTGGAGAGCCGGCAGCAGTGCTCAATCAGCTGGTGACCACAGGCAACGCTGTCCCGGTGCAGATTCAGGATGGCAATGCACAAGGAGGCGCTGGGGGCCTGGCCAGGGTGGAAAAAGGAGAACACATGGTGAGTCCAGGGGCCAGAGCATTCTCCAAAGGCAGCTGGGTGGCAGAAATTATCTTTCCCCTTTCAAAAGGCTGAAAGACACTGGAGGAAGGAACCAGATTCCAGAAGAAAGCAGAAGTGGAACTAAACAAATTTCAGATGTTCTAAGTAGCACTGCCAAAGCTCTGGCTGTTAGGTTTTGTCATTTTACTGGGAAGAAGGGCACTGTGTCCACCTGTTACTTCTTTATGTTTTTGAAACAGGGTCTTACTCTCTTGCCCAGGCTGGAGTGCAGTGGTGCAATCTCAGCTCACTGCAACCTCTGCCTCCCAGGCTCAAGCAATCCTCCCACCTCAGCCTCCCAAGTAGTGGGGACCACAGGTGTGCACCACCACGTCCAGCTAATTTTTATATTTTTTGTAGAGACAAAGATTTCACCATGTTGCCCAGGCTGGTCTCAAACTCCTGGCCTCAAGAGATCCACCCACCTCAGACTCTCAAAGTGCTGGGATTACAGGTGGGCCCCACTGCGCCTGGCCTTGTCACTTACTTCTAGACAATGTCCATAGGTCCCCTTTTTCGGGTTTACTAGTGCAAGTCCTTATTGATGGCTTGGACAACAATAGTCAGCTTGCTTGTCTGACCGCCTAGAGTAGTTTCTACTTTAACCCATGGACACACTGCTGCTAAATTAATGTTCCTGAAGTACACTTGGGAACCTTTCATAGGTCTCTGATATCTATCAAGTAGATAGTCCTTACTGCAGAATGCAAGACCCTTTACATAAATAATCCTTTTTTAATCCTACCTTTATGAGCTCTGTATTAATTCTATTGACTCTATATTCTCTTCAAATTAAATAACTTCCACTTCTCCAGTTATGCCCTGCAATTTTGGACATGGTGTCTTTGCTAAGATGTTTTAATTTTGGATTCTTTGTCCTTCCCCATCCCCAGTCTCCTCACGACTCCCAACTTTCTGCTTGTCACACTCCTACCATTCTTCCAAAGCTCATCTTAAATCTTAAATGCTACCTCTTCAACTAAGCCTTTCCTGGTCTCCCTTTGTGCAATTCTCAAGATGCTCATTATTTTCTATCTTAATGGATTTACTGGTTTAGCTCCCACATTGTTGCATTATAAACAAGCAAAGGCCAGGTGTGTTCACCTTCCTCTGTATTTCTCATCATACTACTAAACATCATAAAGAAACTTAGGTGACCATTGCATTTTATTGCTGTTACCTGCTCATAGTAAAATTCACTCCGCACCAGCTCATTTTCCTCCTCTTTGAGATCCAAAATCCATTCCACCTCATCTGCTTTGGGAATTCTCACCACAAACGAGTATGGAGGGTTTTCACTCTTGGAGCTGTCTAGCGCTGAGAAGAGAATTGCCATTCATGTGTCATTCACTGACTGGCAGTTCAGTCTAACCCAGTCCAGTGAGCTGGCACGAGCTGCAGGTAGACACTTGCCTGCTGTCTCAGGGCCCCTTTCTCTCTCCTTGGTTCCTTTTGCTTGCTTTAGGACACCCCACTAAGCAACTCAAACCTTCTTCCCCAGGCATAGACCTGCGATGAGTGTTACAGCATTCATCACACAACCTTCTTGCTTTACACAAGAAACCTTAAAAGGAGAGTGTTTCTCAAATAGATAGCTGAGCCATTGGATACTCTAAAAACTAACCTGCTGTGAACAGATACAGGCCAGACTGTTAACAGGGATTACCTAGGGGTAAGGAGGGAGCATGGGGAGGTAAGATGGTAAAGGGAAACCTATGAAAAACTAAAATAAAATCACCTACTGAAAGTTAAGAACCAAATTCTTTGGTTGCTGGCCTTCTCAACACTGGAAGCTAATGGGTCAGTGTAATAGGTTAATATGATGAACTTCAGAGGAAACAGGCTCATTGAAATGCCAAGAATTTGCTTTGGCAAACGAGTTGAATGGAGTGCATAAGCTGGACAAGTTTATCAGTTGCGAGTGATACGCTGAAGACACGAATCAACTTAAGTACACAAATGAAGAGTCACAGAGAATGGGATTTGGCCTTACCTTCTGGTTTTCCTGAAGCTTCCTCTGGTACACTGAAAACAGAGAAGGAAAAATTGTTAAACAAGTGCCTGAGTCACTTCTTTGTTTTGAGCTTAATAGACAGCATCAGCTTACAGAGTCTCCCTGTTACAGTGGAGGGCTCTTAGAGGGTAGAAATGGTGAATGAAAGAGCCCCCCCGTCAACACTAACTGTCCGTTTCAAATCGCAGCAGTATGGTGTGTGGGTAATTCCTTCCCAAAGGTGGGAGGCAGTGGTATGCCAGGGTCACAGAAACTGTAGAATAAGCATGGTATGTCTTCCTTCCTATGAGAGCAGTAATCATTATGGTAAATAATGACCAAAAATGTTCATATCAGTACAAACATAATAATGCTATGGAGGAGAATAAAAACTCTATTTAAGTTTGTAAATAAAGCATGCGGAATGCAAAGTAACTGGTTTTGGATGGTTGCTTTGGCCCATATTTCCAGATGCTCTAGGAGTCTTAGGTTCATGCTCCTTTGCTACCAGAAGTAGTGGAAACAACTGAGCAACACTGAACAAACCAAGTCTTAATCTATCTTGCCAGCAGTATTAGCAGTGTCTGAAATTTGTTAGCAGGTGAACTCTGTGTAGGCAAGTATGGAGACTCTTCTAATTATGGATTACAAGCAAGGTACCTAGATCAGAGTTGACTTAAGCAATGCCCAAGCACTCAGCAGGTGTGAATATGTCCGTCTGAGCCCAGTGGAAACCAGCTGAAGCAACAGGGGCTGGAAAATAAGTGAGTTGGTAAACTAAGCCCAATGGCCTTGGTCTGGGGAAGGGCTAAGGAACCAATGTCCTAATTTCAGAGAGAACATCATGTAAGAGCCTTGAACACCTCTTCCTCTCAGCCCTGCTTTCTTTCTTAGTAGTTTCTCTGAGCAAGGTCAGTGTACAAACACTTCACTGTAGAGTTAATGGCATTTCAGTGTGAATGTTATGTATTTTTATAAGTGTTCTGGATTTGAAATGCTCTCTATAATGAGACTCCTAGGAGTGTAGGGCCCCGGGGGAGGGTGCGGCAGTCAATAATAGCCACAGCCCTGCTGGAGGACACTCACTCTTTGTTGCAGTAGCTATAGCACTGATCACACACACGAGCAGGGTTCTCTCTGCAGCCTTCCACAGCCATTTTCTTAGTGGAGCAGGAACTGCATACTAGCCGACCACAGCGGCGACAATGATGACGCCTGTTAAACTGTGGAATGCCATCAGGAAGAGAAAGAAGAGGGAGGAGGGAAGGGGAGATTGCCATCAGTCCATTTATACATGGTATTAGCTACCAGTGGCTTATTATGAAGAACACCAAGTGCTTGGGTCTCTATTGAAAAAGGATACAACAGTCCTTGCCCTAAAATATCAAACATTTAAAAATATTTGTCAGTTGATGGGCAAAGGTGCCAAGTCATAGAGTTTTGCAGTAGCTCCTGACAAGTTCTACTTGGATATAGAGGCAATATATGGAGAAACAGTAAAAAGTACTGGGGAAGAAGTCACCTTCTGAGCCAGTGAGTATCACCTTTCTACACAGTATTGATGACAATGACTAAGAAGTAACTCTTTTCAAAATGCCTTTCTTTCTTTATTTTCCCCAAGGCTATTTTACCAGATACCATTTGTAGCACATGATAAACATGAAGTAAGACTTTTAGGCCAGGTGTAGTGGCTCATGCCTATAATCCCAGCACTTTGGGAGGCCGAGACGGGCAGATCACCTGAGGTCAGGAGTTTGAAAGCAGCATGGCCAACAGGTGAAACCCCATCTCCACTAAAAATACAAAAATTAGTCGGGTATGGTGGCGGGAGCCTGTACTCCCAGTTACTGGGGAGGCTGAGGCAGAAGAATCGTTTGAATCCGGGAGACGAAGGTTGCAATAAGCCGAGACATTGCCACTGTACTCCAGCCTGGGCGACAGAGTAAGACTCTGTCTCAAAAAAAAAAAAAAAAAAGAAAAAAAAAAAGACTTTTAAAAATATAAACACTTAGGTATAATTTAATTTTACATACAATTTTCTTAATTTGTATCAGTCAATTCAGAATTTCTCATCAGTCTTCTCCAAATTATATACCTTCTCTATACATCCAGATTCTGATATGCATAATACAATAATAGTATCAAGCTCATCAGGTTATTGTAAAATTTAAGAGAAATAACTTAAGCCAAGCACTTAGTATCATGCCTGGAACATATATAGTAGGCAGTCAATAAAGGCCAACCGTTGTCATTATTGGAACTTAAAGATGAGAAACTCTTTCTATGATCTACCCTATATGTAAGTAAACCTTCTATATGGTGGCTTCAAAGCTAGAGAGCAGTTTGTCACGTATAACTCCTTTTGGTGGCTTGTCATATGTCTCAGCAAGCCACAACCAATTGTCCTCCTTGAAGATTTTTAAGTATAAATGAGGAAATCTGACTTTGGTTTCCTAATATCTTTTTTAAAAAAATCTTAATTTTTATTTTAGGTTCAGGGGTACATGTGCAGGTTTATTGTATAGGTAAACTCATGACTCAGGGGTTTAGTGTACAGATTATTTTGTCACCTGGGTACTAAGCATAGTACCTAGCTGTTTTTTTCCCCGAACCTCTCCCTCCTTCAACCCTCCTCTCAAGTAGTCCCAGTATCTGTTGTTCTCCTTTTTCTGTCCATGTGTTCTCACTATTTAGCTCCCGCTTATAATTGAGAACATGGGGTATTTGGTTTTCTGTTCCTGTGTTAGTTTGCTAAGGATAATGACCTCCAGTTCCATCCATGTTCCTGCAAAGGACATGATCTTGTTCTTTTTTATGGCTGTATGGTATTCCATGGTGTAGATGTACCACTTTTCTTTATCCAGTCTACCGTGGATGGGCATCGAAGCGCCTTCAAAGTACTGCTTCATTTCATTCAAATACGGATATAGAAATATTACACCTCTTTTATAGATGAGGAGAAAACAGACACAGAACAATTATATCACCATCACTTTCATCAGCACTGAGCTGATGTGGCATACTGGATAGGTACTGCATTAAGTATGGTGACATGTATTACCATATTTAATCCTAATAGCTCTATGAGCCTAAGAATATATTTAATTTACAAGTGGATACATGAGACCAAAATAGTGTATAGTCACACTGTCATAAAGAGGCAGAGCCAGGATTAGAACAAAGGTCCTCTGTCTCCTGAGTCAGTGCATATAACCATTGCTGGGTCACCAGTCTTACTGCCAAAGACACGGGAGCTGGAAACAAGATTCATTGACATCTGGTGACTCGTCCTACCTCTTTTTTATTATCTCATGACAATGGCAAAGATTTTAGAATTTAAGGATATTTGAGGATGTCTACTACCTGTCTGGATCCAGAAAATACATTCTGGTAAGGTCAAATATAAACCCAGCGTCTTAGATTTGGCAGTTCTGAAAATATCAATATTCTCTTGGGGACAGGTGGTAACTATAAACTCAGGTTCATGAACTAAAATTCTCCTTTACCTTCTCCTGAGGGTGTTAGTGGAGACCGATGCTGCTTACCATGGTGAAGTGCTCCCTGCAGCAGACCATGCAGATACTCTCAGTCTCATCTGGTACCCACTGATGCCTGGCAGGGGGTGTTGCTGGGGGCACAAATTCCAGTGGGGTCGGGGTTGGTGGGAAACTCCTTTCCTTTAGACTGGGAGAATGTACAGTGGAGATACCTGGGAGGCAGGGCCAGAGGTCAGAGTAAAAGGTAATCAATATACCAGCTTATAGATGAAGAGGGAATGATAGAATTTCACCATTTTACAAAGCCTTATTGAAAGAATAGATCCAGTTAATGATCATCAGTGGTTGGTTTTGTCATAAAAGAGAGACAACTGAACATTGTGTGCCTCCAGATGGACATGTACACCACCTGCTATCAAGTAAACTTACTAAAAATGTTACGCCTGAATCAAGTCCAATTTCTAGATCTAACTACCAGTGTCCTGGAAATTCCGAGGACAAAGATGCAGATTGCCACAGGAAGGCAGTCAGCAAAATCCAGCATGTGGGAAGCTCCAGGGGACAAATGACTAGTCTCCTCCACAAATAAAAGAGAGGTAGGGTGGATAAACAAGAAAAGAGGCAGGGAACCTATTGATTAAAGGTGTTAAGAGGCCGGTACAATGGCTCATGCCAGTAATCGCAGCACTTTGGGAGGCTGAGACAGGAGAATCACTGGAGGCCAGGAGTTCAAAACCAGCCTGGGCAACATAGCAAGACTCCATCTATACAAAAGAAAAAAATTCAATGGTTAGCCAGGCATGCTGGTGTGTGCTTGTAGTCCCAGCTACTGGGGAGGCTGAGGTGGGAGGATTGTTTTAGCTCAGGAGTTCATGATCATACTACTGTACTCTGGCCTGGGTGACAGAGGGAGACTATCTCAAAAAAGAAAAAAAAAAAAAGAGATTTAAGAGAAATTTCACCAAATGCCATGCCAGGTATGGATATTATTTAGATCTTGAGTCTAGAAAAACCAACCATAAAAAAATCTTGATGAGAGAGCTGGAGAAATTTGAATACTGACTTGATATTTGAGAATAAGGAATAATTATTGTTTCTAGGTGTGATGATGATATTATGGCTTTGTTTTATGAAAGTCCTTACCTTGCAGAGATTTATACTGAAATATTTATAAATGAAATGATACGATATCTGGGATTTGTTTCAAAATACTCTGGTAGAATGATGTGGGGGTATAGAAGAGACAAGAATGGTCATGATGAGATGATAATTATTTTAACTGGCTAACAAGAATTGAGGCATTCTTTGTACTAATCTCTCTTTTGTGATTGCAAATTTTCCATAATAAAAAAGCTCATATAGGCTGGGTGCAGATTATGCCTGTAATCCCAACACTTTGGCAGGCCAAAGTCGGAGGATCACTTGAGTTCAGGAGCTCAAGACCAGCCTAGGTAACAAAGCAAAATCCTGTCTCTACAAAAAATAAAATAATTAACCAGGCAATGGTGGTGTGTGCCTGTAGTCATAGCTACTTGAGAAGCTGAGGCTGGAGGAACTGACCTGTAGCCAGCCCTGATGGCACCACTGTACTCTAGCCTGGGCAACAGAGTGAGACCCTGTCTCCAAAAAAACAAAACAAAACAAAACAAAATAAAACAAAAAGCTCTCACACACACACACCAAAGTTGCTCAGGCTGCCTTATGTAGATGCATGTAGCTGCTTATATACTTGCAAGGCTGAGCTCTCCCCTCAGTTCAGCTGGTTATGATGAAGCATGGCTAATTCTCAAAATATGTCCAGAAAATGCCACAGTCTGCTTTATGATATGTAAAGAGACTTCTTATCACTTAGCAGAGCAATGTTGGCTGGTCACAGAAAAAGAGAGCGTTAAACATAGTGACTCTTAGTAGCAATCAGAAGAAGAGACCTTAGAATCCTGCTCCTTCGACCGTTTGGCAAAACAAAACACTTGGCTGAGCTTCTTTTGAGAGTAGGCTACTATGTAGGGGCTGGAGACCAGGGGACTGGAGGGGTGGTGAAAAAGGTGACCAAGACATGGCTGAGGCCTTCAAGGAGCTTGTGCTTTGTGTGTGACAGTATGAACTTGAGGGCTAAGTACAGTCAATCATCATTAAAAGCAGATTGCATATTTGTGAACTTGCTTATTCGTTAATATTTGTAATCTCAAAAACAATATTCATCTTGCTTTCGTGGTCATCTGGAAACACACGCAGTAGTGAAAATTTTGAGTCACCCAACACTCAACTCACAGATTCCCAGCTGAGGTTGTTTCGACCTTTGTACAACAGTGACCTGGCCTATATAGGCTCATGATGCCTATAATTCCAGCACTTTGGGAAGCCAAGGCAGGTTGGTCACCTAAGGCCAGGAGTTTGAGACCAGTCTGGCCAACATAGTGGAACCCTATCTCTACTAAAAACACAAAAATTAGCTGGGTGTGGTAGTACATGCCTTTAATCCCAGCTACTCGGAGCCTGGGGCAGGAGAACTGCTTGAACCCAGGAGGTGGAGGTTGCAGTGAGCCGAGATTGCGCCACTGCACTTCACCCTGAATGACAAGCAAGACTCCATCACAAAAACAAAAACAAAAACAAAAAACAACAGTTATCAGAAGATAGAGATGGTAGGAACAGCGCAGGGTAGTGCAAGAAGCTCAGTGCTGGGGCTAGTTGGATGAATCCCAATTCTAGGACCTGTTAGTGGGGGTGGCCTCAGGCAAGTCACTTACCACTTCTGAACCTCCTTTGTAGAAAAAACAAAATAGAATTGCCTAGGATGAGTTATTTTTAGGATTTAAGATTACTATCTATGTGAGATATGTGTATACACGTACATATTTCCCCTAGGAGCAAGAGTTCTGAATTTGTTAGTTCAGTGTGGAAACTTTCATAGATACACTGCCACAAATAACAAGAATTTACTGTATGTTGAATTTTTTGGGGATATATAAAGCTGAAATGAACCAAGATAAAAAATTAATAATGTTGTAACTGAACATTCTGAAAGACAGAATAAGGCAAGACTGAGCTGAAAAATGTTAGTGAATAATCAGAGCCAGTTCTTACCAGGAGAAGCAGGAGGGAACTCTGCTGATGGTGATCTAGGGAGGGTCTCGGGATCTGAAGCCTGGTGGACAATTTCCTGGAGATGAATCACAGAATCTGTAGAGAGAGAAAATGCTGACAAAATATGGTCCTACCATAAGCACTTGATTCACCACCCTAGGCATTTAGAACAAAGGTCTGTTGGCTTTTCTGCTTGTCATTCCATGACTCTTACTAGGTATTAGGAGAACGGAGGAGGTAACTCTAAGCCCACAGCATGCATGTTTCTTAAACTCCTCAAAAAACAAACCATGTTTAGGCATAGGAGATAATGAAATGGACACTAGGATTCTACAAAGTAAATGTAAAAATGCCCAGGAGGAAGTGGAAGACGTTGAAATGATGCCCCTGGAGGGTAGGGAGTAAGAAAAAAGAGCTGGCTGGGAACATCAGTCCGTACTTCAGTTTCTTCATTGTAGAAGAGGCTGAGTCAGCTCACATACAAGTGATATCTGATGTGATCCTGGGAATAAGGCATACTCTCAATACCAAATGACGGCACTGAAGAGCCCACTACATCAAGGCCAGACAGAGACCATTTCCAGCCTATTTTGTTTTCCAAACCTTTATGTTATTATGCACGCAGTGGTCATCTACAACTTTTTAATTCTAGTCATTATTCTGCTCCCTCCAAGACCAAGATCTCTCCTGTATAATAAAGAGCTCTCTGTCCTGAAATGTATTCATTCACTCTAGATCAACTGAAAATATTAAAAAGGGAGAAAATTAAAACTAAGAATGTAGCATGGCATTTCTTTCTCCATGCAGAATCCCCTTCCAGGATGCTAGCAGTTACCTGATCGTTTCTCCCTCTGAGAGTATGGGAAGTCCAGAGCTTTCTCTGCATATCTGGAAAGCAGCGAGTCAACCTCTTCCATTGTGAAGCCAATCTCCTGCCCAACCAGCAGCTGCTGCAGAGTCCGCACAGCCACAGTGGCCCAATCCACCTTCATGTTCATAAGCAGCTGCTCCAGCATGAGCAGGGGGTTAGAGGACAAGTGGGAGTAGCTAGCCCGGTGCTGCTCAGGCAGGGTCAGCAGAATCTGTTTGTGGGATAGATCCATAGAGTAAAAAATAGTACACAAATTTCCGAAGAAACTCAAGATTCTTACTGGAAAGGCGAAGGGTGCATGAGAACAAAAGGTGCATAGCCAGCTACTGAAATGGACTTGTGGTCTTTTAGGAAGCAAGGCTGAGCTCCCCACTAAATTCTGCAGATGGTAATTGAGAAGTACTCCAAGTACCTTCACCAGATGAGGGGTTAGTAAACTTTTTCTATAAAGGATCAGAGAGTACTCAAGCATCCAGCTCTGCATGTACCTTGAAAGCAGCCATAGGCAAACATGTAAATGATAGTTGCACCTGTGTTCCAATAACACTTGTTTTACACAAACAGGCTGGGAACTAGATTTGGCTCACAGGTGGTAGCCTGCTGACCCTTGCCCTAAACTCCTCCAGGTATAGTTAACTCTCCCTGACCCTTAATGCCACCATTCTGTTTATTTGAGGCTTTACTCAGAATGAGAAATACAAGGTGGTGTCAGTGGTGTGACGAAACCTGGCACGTCCTATGTCCTACAGGTAAATGATGAATCTAAGTTCACCTTACAGATAGCGGTCACTAGGTTTGAAATACGTTCACTGACTCTGCTCACTGCCAGTTTTCAAGGGTTCCCCTACTTAGCTACAGCACATTAAGTGCATCTTGTTAAGAAACATGTTACGTAGTTTAACTCTTAGTAAGTGGGTAAGTGGTTATATTTATGGCTCTCCTAGTACTCATTTTATTTGTGGGGGAGTATATAGGACTGCCAGACTGAATAATTAGAAGAATGCCAGAGGGTCCTAGCTCACCTCAAACTCTGCTTCACTGGATTACTTTTTTCTAGCAGGCAGTTTCTTCTACTAAAGTCTCCAAGGTTATACATCAATGGTAAGAACTGATTATGTCATCTAATTACATACACAACTAACCCTCTTCCACTAGCACAGACAAGTTTATAAAGCAGTTGTTTTAAATCCTCACATCAGAAGCCCTTTGGAAGATATCCAGTCCCTTTCCCAAGACCAGTCTTAATTGATCTGGGGTAGAGGTGAATAACCTGGTGTGTTTTTTTTTTTTTTTTTTTTTAAACTCCAGGTAATTCTAATACATTGTTAGAATTGAGAAGCACTGATATAGCAGATGCCATGGAAACCATAAAGGCAACTTAAGAGGACCAGGTAGAATTCACAATGGAGGCAGGACAGGAAGAGAATGACAAGTCCTAGGAAACTCAGCTAGAATACAGTGGGCTGCTAGGGTAAAGATTTCATATAGCACCAGCCGGGAATGGCAGATGCCTGGCCAAAGAGCCATTGAAAAGGCAAGTTCTAAAGAGGAGCTATGCTTGCAGTCGCTCCCTCAGGCATGCCTTCCCAACACCCCCTTTTTCTCCTTACCTTGGATCCCACATATAGCGCCTGGATTTCACGGTGTCGGACAATAGTCAATTGTCCATAGAAGTGGGTGGTGAGGTAGTTGGCCAAGAAGTGAGAAGTAGCCAAGCTAGTGTGCTGGTCGAGGGATTGCTCTGTGACTTCAAGGCACATGGTGGGGTCAGGGATTCTTTGCAGGAGCTATTGTTGAAGGGAATAGGAGGAAGGTGAGGCCTGTAGAAGAGCTCTTAGACCAGCCTTGTTTTGTTTGAGAAAGGAATATTTAGGTTTACCCATTTTGGACTAACCCTTTATCTACATTCATTTTTTTTAAACCACCCCTGTAGTTTCCCAAATGCCCTGGCTTTGACAAGACCAGAATTCAGCGGAATTCTGGACCCAGCTGCCCCATCTGGCACTTAGTGCAAGGCTAGGCCCCTTCTGCTCAAGATGACTATAGGCAGCTCCTGAAAAACCCAAAGGAGCATATCTGAGATTGCAGGGGATTCAGCATGAAAATAAAGCCATCTGATTTGACTAAACTTGTCCTACCCTAGAAGAAAAATGGAAAGAATTGGGGGCTTACTTGCAGAGCCTTTTCATGATCTCTTCTTTCTAGAAGGTGGAGAAGATGTTTTTGATGTAGGCTGATTAAATGTTCTCTTGGAATAGGGTACAGGCAGCCCCACTCCTCACACAGCTCATACTCCTGGAAGGAGACACACATGCTTCCAATCCCTTTAAATGACAGCCTGATTCTTCTCAGCAGTCTTGAGTCTACAAAGCCCCAGGAATGTTTATAAGTGCTGATGGGAGCCTCACTATGATGAAAATCATTGAAGCAGGCTTATTGTTCATATCACTTTCCTCTTATCTCTACTTAAAAAAAAAAAAAAAAAAAAGCAGATAACATGTGGCAACAGACATTCGGTGTCATCCCTGGGGAGATACTAAGGAAGTGGGAAAGACTGAAAAGACTGTTCAAAGGACACAGCACCTGCTCAGCTTTGACTGTTGCTAATAAGAATGGGCAGGCCCAATATTGTCAGACTTTTAAGTTACAAAATTTTTTTTAAATCATAAAATTTCTGCATTTTAAAATTTTGGCAATAAAGTCAATATGAAAAAATAAAAATTCTGCAGACCAATACTATAAAGACCAAATAAACATGTTGGTGGTTGGATTCCACCCATGTTCCTCTTCACACTACCCCTCAACCCCGATTTGTGAACTGTAGATGAAGTTTGAGAGAATAGAATTCCCAGGGCTTTGTTCAAATATTCCCACATGGTGGTGCCTGGAATGTACTCCCCACAACCCTGCCTAGGACTGCCTTCTTCAGGACGCTTCCTTGTTTCTCAGGCTATGTTAGGCGCCCTGTGTGTGCTCCCAGAATCTGGGCTTACTTCTGTCATTTGCATATTATGTTGCAGTCACCGAGGCATGCATCATACATCATCCCCTCCCCAAAATGTGAGCCACTCCAGAGCAAGGACAGCTTAACTATTTTTGTTTCAACACCATCTAGCACAGTGATTGGCAAATAATAGGCAGGCAATAAGTATTTCCTCAATGAACATTTGAATGAGCATCCACAGTCAGCTTCTCAAAAGGCAGACAAAATCCTACTTAGCACTTGAACACATGAACAGATATTCAAATGTATTAGTAATGTATTAGTAATCAGTAAATTAAAACAACAATGAGATGCCATCTTATTACAAACAGTGAAAAGTTGGACAATATAAAAAGGTAACAAGGGGCCAGGCACGGTGGCTCATGCCTGTAATCCTAGCACTTTGGGAGGCCAAGGTGGGTGGATCACTTAAGGTCAGGAGGTTGAAACCAGCCTGACCAACATGGTGAAACCCCGTCTCTACTAAAAATACAAAAATATTAGCCAGCTGTGGTGGTGGGTGCCTGTAATCCCAGCTACTCGGGTGGCTAAGTCAGAAGAATCACTTGAGCCTGGGAGGCGGATGTTGCAGTGAGCCAAGATCGCACCACTGCATTCCAGCCTGGGTGACAGAGCAAGACTCTGTCTCCAAAAAAAATAAAAAAAATAATAAAAATGATAAAAAGGTGACAAGATTATGGAATAACAGAAAATGCAAGTGGGAGTGTAACTGGGGTGAGTGTTTTGAAGAGTAAGTTGGTAATATCCTAGTAAATGAATGATGACCCAGCAATTCCACTTCAAGGAGTACATTCTGTACCTCATGTATACAGTGTAGAAAATCTCAGGTACGAACATAGGGTGATAATACAAAACAGTCAATTGTATATTTTCTATACTTATCTAGATTTTGGCAAATCTCACAATAAAAAACAAAGTGGTATAGTTATTTTTTTAAAAAGTGAACACTGACATGCAGAAAGGGGTCTATACAGCCAGCTAAGGAGTTGCAACTCTGAAAGGAGCTCGAAGGGGAACACCTCCCAGGAAAATGGTACCTGTGCTTCTAGAATCATGTTCATGACAGTTGATGGGTCCTCAACACAACAGCTCCTCAAGGTCTGCCAGTCACACCATGCTGGGGGAGACTGCAAACCCAGAATCTAAGGAAAGACAGGAATATCCGTCAAACCACACTACAGCTTCTTCCTCCATGAACAAGTCACTGGCATGCCCACAGGTGGGCCATCCCTAGATCTCTGCCCCAAAGGCAGGCTGTCAGAACTTGCTAGAAAAGAGAGCAAATTGAGCAAAGATTATTTAGAGAGCAGAATGAACCTATCCAGGAAGAACACGCAGGGAGTGAAGGATGAATATGGAGGTCAGGACTGGGCCTTTCACTAGTGAAGACAGTACTCCCATGCTTCACAAACTGTTCTGGGGTCACCTGTCCCATGCTCCTCCATCTCAAAACTCCACTCAGCATATTCTTCTGGCTTGAATGCTCTGTGGGATCACCTTTCATACAGCATTTTAGCTCTGCATAAAAACTGCCAAGGAAGAATGAAAAGAAACCTTTTTCACCTGCCATTTTCACTGTCCCTGGTAGGGCTCCTGGATTCTGTCTGCTCCAAGTATATGAGGGAAAATTAGCATCTATTTTACACTTCTTATATAGCTATGCTTCCTAAATTTGCCCCTATAAGCCTCTTGAGCTTGAACACAACAAATATCCCAGAAGAATCTTTCACTTTTGAAATTGTCACCTTCATGCGTCATTTCAAAATAGCTCTTGGAATTTTGCTGAAATTTAAAACAACCTTTATAGAAGATATAATATACAAAAACATACACGAAGCTCAAATAGACGTGAAAAAGCCTTTCTGGACTGTAATACACAATTCCAATGTGAATTTTGTTATTCTTATCTTCACTTGATGCAAATATATTTAAAATTATGGGAATAAGTTAACACAGGAACCAGCTTGGAGGCCTCCCTGCTGTTTACCTAAGAACTAAAGCCAGATGCAAAGCAAAATCCAGGCCTATATTTTCTGTTTCTTAAAGTCCCCAATCATATGAGAATAGGTTGGGGTTGATCACAGAGTGAGAAGCCCGTTTCCTTTCTCTTGATGCTAGCGCCCATACCTTCTGATACACCCGCAGCTCCGCCAGCTTCCTCTGCAGCTCACACTTTAGTCCTTCTTGGACAGCTGTGTCTGATATGCAATAGGCCAGAATCTCCAGGCATGACTCCAGAGGCCACCTGTCCACAAACTGTAGCGCCAGCCGACTTCTCAGAGATGCATCCTTCACAGGAAACAGGTATTGCCAACCTTCTTTGTCTATAAGACAAAAAAGATACTCAGAGGCAGCCAGCGTGGCACCTGAAGAGCTCAAGAGTCCAGGTTACATCTTGAGAAAGGGCTTTCTTCAATTTCATAAAACAGGAGCTTGGATGATCCTTAAGATGCATGTGACCTAACTAGTTTTTATACTTGGAACCACTATATGACAAGGAAAATGCCATATCTCTACCCTATATTTCTCTTTATGTAAACCTGATAATAGCCACAACACTTTCAGAGGGAAGAGAAGGAAACGAAGGAAAGGAAAGAAGGAAGGAAGGAAAGGAAGGAAGGAAAGGAAGGATGGAAGAAAGGAAGGGAAGGAAGGAAGGAAGGAAAGGAAGGAAAGGAAGGAAGGAAGGAAAGGAAGGAAGGAAGGAAGGAAGGAAATGAAGGAAGGAAGGAAAGGATGGAAGGAAGGAAAGGAAGGAAAGGAAGGAAGGAAGGAAAGGAAGGAGGGAAGGAAAGGAAGGAAGGAAGGAAGGAAGGAAGGAAATGAATGAAGGAAGGACGGACGGACGGACGAGATGAAGCTCTCCATGTTTTGTCATGCTGAACATATCGGACTGTTTCAGACTCACCTTGTCAGGGAAACTTTCCTTTTCCCTGTACTTTCCACCCTGTGCCATACATAACCACTTGAAAGTTATTCCAGGCAGACTAGTTTCATTCCCTGGATATTCTCTGTCATCATGACTTAGATCTCTCTCTTCCACACCCATCTCACAGATCTGATCTTGGAGATACAAAGAACAGACTCCAAGCAATTAAGACCACATGGCCAGTCAGTAGATTTCTCCACTTTTTCAAGGATGGATTTTCTCCTTTCCAAAGGGAGCCAAGCCTCCTACCCAAAAGTCATTCCCTACATCACACCCAACTCTTGGGACAACACTACTAGAAATCCTAGTAGTAGAAATCCTAGAAGAAATCCTAGTAGAAATCCTAGCAGTGTTGTAGCTCATTGGCTTTCCACTCTGGTTACACGTCAAAATGTTCTGGGGAGCTTTCAAAGCAGTGGTCATCAAAGAGACCCACAATCTGCTTTTATAATAAAGTTTTATTAGAATATAGCCCTGCTCATTTCTTTATATATTGACTCTGGCTGCTTTCATGCTATACTGGAGGAGCTGGGTAGTTATGAGCAAGACTGTGGCTTACAAAGTCCTTTATAGAAAAAATTTGCTGATCCCTATTTCAAAGTAAACACTTGCCTGAGCTCCATCCTGGGCATCCAGGGGTGGGGCCCAAACATTTGTAGTCTATAGAATTTCACTACAATTGTGATATACAGGCTGGGCGCGGTGGCTCACGCCTGTAATCCCAGCACTGTGGGAGGCCGAGGCGGGTGGATCACAAGGTCAAGAGATCAAGACCATCCTGGTCAACATGGTGAAACCCCGTCTCTACTAAAAATACAAAAAATCAGCTGGGCATGGTGGCGCGTGCCTGTAATCCCAGCTACTCAGGAGGCTGAGGCAGGAGAATTGCCTGAACCCAGGAGGCGGAGGTTGCGATGAGCCGAGATCGTGCCCTTGCACTCCAGCCTGGGTAACAAGAGCGAAGCTCTGTCTCAGAAAAAAAAAAAAAAAAGAAAAAAAAAAAAAGAATTGTGATATACAGTATTGAGAATATTGGTTACGAGGGCCTGTTTAAAGTCAGATAGACTTGGGTTCTAAGCTCTACTTCACCACTTACCAGCCTGGATAAGTTTCCTAACCCCTCTGAACCTTGGTCTCCTCTTAATAACATGAGATTATGGTGGGACTTTTCTCTGGAGTTACCATGAGGATTAAATGTGATGATACACCCAGTGAATGCCAAATATTACCACTAGTGGAAAAGGGAGGCATAGCATTCTGCTTACCACATGCCGCAGCACAGCTCAGGATTGCATCCTTTATGCTGCTCAAATTGTCCACATCTCGCCCGTACACTTCAGTGAGCTGAAGGGCCCGGGACCAATCTCTGACCACCAAGGATTCCTCGAAAGCCTCAGTCAGTACATCTAGGGCAATGGGAGAATGTAGGCCCAGGAGAACGGTAGAAAGACCAGCCCAACCACAGAGATTCAGAGCCAGACTCTGATCCTGCTGCGAGGACGCTTGCAGGGGCCCCCAGGTGGCCAGGAGGAAGGCCTCAAGCAGAGGGAATTGTTCCAGAAGGCGCTCACACTCTCGTGCTACCTGCTCTGCAGCTAGAGGCACCTCCCTGCGGCCACGAAGTTCCTTCCATAAGCTGGGTTTGCTGACCTTTAACCTCGGGGAAGCCCCCAGACAAGCCACCAATGCCAGGAGCTTTGAGCGAGACTTAAGAAAGGCCAAGGTGGAGGAGGTGAGAGCTGGGAGTGATGAGTCCCTTGGGGAAGAGTAGGGCTTTCTTTCCAATGTGGGGTTCTCGGTTGGCCTCAGGGAGCTCTGCGTAGAAAGTGGGAGGTCATCCAGGCAGTGGGAGGCGTGCAGCTGGGCCAGAGTACCCAGGCGAGTCAGGAGGGAGGAGGTCTGCTGGCTTTGCCGGGATGAGCAAAGAGCAAGGGGCTCACAGCAGCAGCCAACGATGACCTGCGGCACGCTTAGGCTGAGATTCTCTTGGGCCAGAAGGGCTGCCAGTCTGGAAGGGGAGAAGCAGAAGGCATATGAGGCCTGAATACATAGGCATTATTACACAATCTTACAATTTCTTTATGCTTACATGAGCAAACGTAAATTAAAGTTTCTAATTGTTATACTCTTTTTTTAAAAACACAAAAAGTAGCCTATTAGACGTACTCCTTTGCCCTTTGTGTTTTCACTGAACACATCTGGAAGATCTAACCACATCCCTCTACAGAGACGACCCTCTTTAGTTTTTTAGTTGCATAGTATTCCATTATGCAGATGAACCACAACTTAACTATGCTCCTATTAGTGGACAATGAGTTTTCTGATCTGTTGTTACTATATGCAAGGCGGCAATGAAATGATTTTGCACATAAATCACTTATCTTATGTATAATAAAGCTGTAGGATAAATTCCCCAATGTGGATTGCTAAATCAAAGGGCATATGAATTTGCAATTTTAATAAATATTGACAAACTGCCTTCCTGCAGAGGCTGTACAAATTCATGCCCCACTGGCAATCTCTGAGAATGCTGTTTTCCTACAGTCTAACCAAATATCATGTTGTCGAAGTTTCAGATTTTTGCCTATTCATAAAGTACAGATTCACCCATTTCATACTTAACAATATAACTGCTTGGCCGAGCGCGGTGGCTCAAGCCTGTAATCCCAGCACTTTGGGAGGCCGAGGCGGGTGGATCACGAGGTCAAGAGATCGAGACCATCCTGGTCAACATGATGAAACCCCGTCTCTACTAAAAATACAAAAATTAGCTGGGCATGGTGGTGCATGCCTGTAATCCCAGCTACTCAGGAGGCTGAGGCAGGAGAATTGCCTGAATCCAGGAGGCGGAGGTTGCGGTGAGCCAAGATCGCGCCATTGCACTCCAGCCTGGGTAACAAGAGTGAAACTCCGTCTCAAAAAAAAAAAAAATAT